CTGGATAGAGGTACCCCTGCTATAAAGACAGCACCTCGCTGTGTGGCGGTACCCCCAGTATGAAGCCAGCTTTTCCCGTATAGGTTATCCCAGTATGGAGACAGCCACACACATACTCTTGTGTAGATGGTGCCCCTCAGTACAGAAACAGACCTGTCCCTTTTCTGTAGGCACCCCCAAACAGAGCTCTTGGAAAGACTGCTGTAACTGCTCGGGCTCCTCTCATAGATCCCAATCAGCGCAGGGCCGTGCCGGTGCGGCGGGGGCCGTGGTTTCCTACTAATAGTCCCATGTAGATTTTAGGCTTCTCAACCCCGCCGGGGAGGCTCTCCATGATGGCTTTCGTCCTCAATGCACTTACCTGGTAAGTCAGCAACTAGCTGGAGCTCCTGTGTTTTGTTCTTTCTTAACATTAAACTTTAAGAGAATTCAGCATCTGAAAGCCCTGTGCCTGGCTGAGTGTGTCTCTTGAGGGCAGCTACTCCCGACTCCCAGGAGCCTAGATAAGTTATTTCACGTCACTGCCTCAGCTTCCCAGCTGGCAATGAGATTTGCTTCTGTGAGAGATTTTACTGGAAGTTAGAATTAATGGATGTCAGCAAATACTTATTTATAAGCAAATATGGTTTTTGCCCCTGCCACTGGGCAGAGATTCTGGTTTTAAAAATTCCTGCCTCATTCTCTGCATTAAAAGCTTATTTCCCTGCTGTCATATAATTAAAAAGCTTTAAGCATGTAACTCTCGCTGCAGCAGCCAAGAGAAAGGTCAGGAGCAACCTATCCTTAAAACATTTAAGAAGTTTCAAACCAACTAAATAACCTGCACTGACAACTGTTGATAGCTCTTGCTACATCCCCTTTTCCAGAGGCATAGCACAGTTTATTAATCTCTGTGTTTATTTTGCAGTGCTCTGGGCTTGCTGTACTTCATCCGCCGAGGAAAGCAGTGCCTGGATTTCACAGTCACAGTTCACTTCTTCCACCTTCTGGGCTGCTGGATTTATAACTCGCACTTTCCCTCCACCCTGACGTGGTGGCTGGTGCACATCGTGTGCACTGCGCTGATGGCTGCCATCGGGGAGTACCTCTGCATGAGGATAGAACTCAGAGAAATCCCCCTCAATTCTGCCCCCAAATCCAATGTATAGACTCACTCTGGCAACAACATGCTGCATTATGTTATTGTTTCCAGCACAAGTGCATCTAATGCCCAAGAATCATCACTGAAGAAGCACAGCAGGTCTGTTTAGACTTGGGTGGGGTTTTTTTGGGGGGACCTTGGTGACCGCATGAGTGTGAGCATCTCCTTTGGCCTCAGCTGACAACAGGGGAGGAACAGATGTTTATTTTGCTAACACAAAGCATTTAATGACTGTATGGCAAGTGTGCTTTTAAACTCTTCACTCATGAGACTGTTCAAAGCCAGGTAGCAAAACTTGATGCGTGAGGAGCATCTGGAACTAAACATGGGATTGCCCTGTATGGGTAATGCAACGGTCAGCTCTTCTTGGGGGAGCCGCACAGTGAGCAGCGAGGCTGAGAGCTGTTGCTTCCAACCTTTGGTTGGGGAAAAAGTCAAAGTGAACGAATGGGGAGAAAGAAAATAGTTGTACTTACCCAAATCACCAGCTGAGACCCTAAATAACCTATAACGTTGGATGGTTGGTTGCTGTTTCCATGTTTAATACATAGATATGTCAGACAGCAGTTTGCTGAAGAAATCTTTTGTAATAAAGTATTATGTTGCTGTGAGCATGTTACGGTTCTGCTGGGAAGCTGAGCTCTTCAAGGACACCATGAGTGTCTGTATCATGGCAACAGAAAGATACAGCCAGAGAACACATGACTGTAAGATGCCCACTCTTTAGGACACAAAAATTCCTACAATAACTGTTTCATACCTCTGCTCCAAAATGAAGACATCATTAAGTGCTGTGATGGAAGTCAGCAGCATAACCCTCGCTTCAGGAGGAGTGCTGGCAGTCCAGGGTCTCCGATTGTTCAGCCCAAGGCTGGAGCTGTCCTGGGGCCATGCTGCTGTCTGGCAGGCTGCAGAAGTCTAGCAACAGGTCTGGTCTGGCAGAGGTGATGTTTAGTTAAATGAAAGACTACTGCTTGTTTCTCAGAATAACAGGATGTGCCTTTATTTAGAGGCACTTTAAATAAGCATAACCTGCAGGCAGGCAAGGACACCACCTTACTGCCAAGCGGCCAGAGCTGGATGGTTCCTCCAGATCCTGCAGACCTGTATCCTGTCTGGTTTCTGCTGAGGGGGTGGCCAGTTTGTGCAATCCCAAATGAGGCCAAACCCACTTCTGAAGACAGATTTTTCTTCTGTGCAGCATCTGCTGCAGTAACTTTCCTTTGTATGTTAATAAGGGTTAATTTGAGCAAGTTATTTGCTAATTCACCTTGTTGAAAAGTGGTGGGATGATTTGAGATTCACAAGTTGATAAGCTCTTTGAAGCTGCTCTTTTGGCTTTTGTTACTGGGGGAGCTGTATTTCAATTCCTGCTCTCCTATTCAGATCCTGTAAGTTACGGCAGGATAACATCCTGGTGTTTTAAATACTTGGCAGGTCTGCTGCAGAGGAGGACTCCTGGTTATGTTTGTTTAGATAGAACTTTTTTTACAATCTGGGATTATGCCAGGACCTTTTCCTGACTAAAAGCCCCTTTAAGCACAGTTTGAATCTTTCAGAGGGAAGACTTGATGCAAGTTTCTTTCTGGGCAGGAGCCAGCGCTTGCTAGAGGGACACCCAGAGGTCACTTCCTAGGGCTTCCCCTGCAGTTGTGCTGTGCAGTCAGCAAGATACAGTTCATCCCTCCTCAAAATCTGCTTGTTTCTCATACAGAAGGATACTTGCCTGGCTTCTAGTCACCATCAGCCTGGATATAAACTGGCCTTCCAGTAGGTGCCAGTATCTCCTTCAGAAAAGAGCCGTGATCCGGGTGCAACTGGCATCGGGCAGAACAAAGAGGACACTCAGCCTCGGGACTGACAAGCACTGACTTGGTGTCAGTGGTATTTTAAGGCTCTTCCAGGGTCATTTTGTCCTCTCCTGGTTTTTTGTTGCTATTTTTGACAAATAGTCCTGCACAGGGAAAGTCTGCAGATTTAGTTCAAGGCTCAACAGCACAGCACAGTGGAACTCCTGTCTTCAACATGGGTCTTAAGGCAAGCGTGAGCAGGAGGATTAATTACAGTGATTATGAGTGTGAGAGGGAAAGCCACACTCATCCCATTTCTTTAAGGAGAATGGGCAGCTGATCTCAGAGCTGCTGTGAGACTGTATTGAGAGGTGCTATCTTGGTTCCCCTGTAAGAACAGACACAAAAACTTTGGACCAAGGAACACCCTCTTACTCCCTAAATACATGAGGTACGCTGCAAGTGCGTCAGCAGCCTCCATTGCGAGGCACGATGTCTGGGTACAGCTTTGTATCTGGAGAAACTCAGAGCAAGGCCATGAGAAGAAGCTTTGACAAATGTGGATTTAACACCAAAGGCTGTGGGACATCCAACAAGCTGCAGTGGCTCAGCACAAAGCATGCTGTAAGATCAGAAATGCTTTCTGAAAGTCTGCTGACTGCCTATGAGGACTGAGTCTGCATATTACTTCTTTTTAAAGGAAATCTACTGTAATTGTCATAGTCATAGAAGAAGTTGTGCTAAAACTAAAACACTGATTGAGGAGGGAACCTCTGAAATTCATCACTTCCATATTGAGACACCCAATTTTCACTCACATGCTTTCGGCCAGATTAGCAGTACCTTTGGCTTAAAAAAAGTAATCTGCTGCTCCATACCAGAACAGTGGCAGATGGTCTTTGTTTCTTAATGAATCTTTAGGTTTTGTGTGCAATAGTTGAGGGATTTGCTTCCAGGGAAGATATGCCCCAACACCTGCTCTTCTTAGAGACAGCAGTAGTGTCAGCTATTTGCATCCATGGTTCTGCAGAAAGACTTCTTGGAGATCTCTGCTGAGACTTTTGTATTCCCCTTCCCCAAAGCTGTTTAGAAGCAGGAAAATTTTAACAGAGAGAAAGTTGCCAAATCCAAAGAGAAGCCAAGAGTTGTGGGATTTTGGGTGGCTGTGCTGATTTCTTTTCCTAAAGGCATTAAACATCTATTCTAAACAAGGAGCAGGTACAGCACTTGGATCCAAAAGACTCCAGCCTTGGTTATACACAGTACCCGACTGCTTCAGCTTTCTCCATCTCAAACCACAGGCAGGAGAGTAGATAATGGGGAGTGGGGAACAGGATCACAGAGCACACACTGATTTTGGAATGGAGTAAGAACAAAACCCAGAGTGTTTCACTCCAGGTTTTGCAGTGTTCTGCTTTACTCTTTCTCCCATGGAGACTGGAGACTTTGGGCCCGAGATGCCGAGTACATCAATAACAGCTCTGCTGTCTAGAGAGCTCAGATGCCTCATGTTGAAGTGCTGTTTGAACACCAGCTGCTCCTCCCTGACTTGTTTCTTGGAATTTGCCTCAATTTATTCACTCCCTCCTGCTGCTGCAGGAGCAGAGTTAAGTGATAGGGAAGGTAAAAGGAAGAACATGTGAATGCCAAGTGAAAGCAGCATGACCCAACACCACTATTGGCAGGAAGATCCTTTGCTGTAGAAGCTTGCCCACATGCCTATAACACATCCAGTGGGATCTCTGGAAGTAGCAGGGCCTTAGATTGCCTGCTCACACTGTAAAACACATTTTCAGGATTTGGGACACCATTTCAGAATGTCCTTATTTATGGGTGGTGGCATGTCCTGCTGTGCCCACTCCCATGGTGGGCAGTGCTCAAACCATCAGCACAAGGTCCTTGTTCAATGTTTCTCAGGAGCATGAAGAGCCACAAGCATGCCCAGGTCCACACCGGGCAGAGCAAGTCAAAGCAAGTGCCCTGGGAATGGGCCAAACAATCTGTAGAAACAGCCAGAGTGATGTGTGAAAGGCAGCCTGAAATCCTCTGCTAGGCTATGGGCTGTGCAGCCACACAGGGCACGGAGCTTCAGCAGCATCCTCAAACACTGAACTGCCTTGAACTGCCCAGTAATATCGTGTTTTTCTGACATACCCAGGAACCACTTGCAAGCACCTCTGTCTTGCAGATACTTTTGTGGCTTGTACTGAAGCTGCAAAACTAACACTGCCCTGAGCTGCAAAGGAGACAAGAGAAGACTGTGCTGTGAAGCAAGAGCCAGGACAAATAAACTTCTCCCATGCTGTAGGCTCTACAACAAACTTTAATACTCTGGAATTACACACTGGCACCCACATAGCTTCTTACAGGTACCTTGGGGAAAGCTTTAAAGCAAAAAAGATGCTATAAGTCTGATCTGTCCTGCTAGCTTGACATTCTGTCACCCCCCGCCCCAGTATTTTTGCCCTCTGTTTCCTTAGAAAAGGGATTTACACAACACAGGAGTTACTCAGGAATTCAGATGCATGCAAGAGAAGAAGTCATGCACCTGTGATTAGGTACATGGGGATGCAGGGGTTTCACCACATCCTCAAATTAAAAGGGGTACTACAGGGAGGCAAGGTCTCCTTTCTGCCTTTGACAGAACACACACCATCCCCTGCCCCTCACAAGTCACTGGTAAAAATTCCCATCTTGGTTTTAGTGCTCAAATAAAAAACCTGTAGAGCTGATCTGGTGGAAAGAGTCAGCAAAGCAAACAGGTTTCCTTCCAGTGCCACACAAGAATGCAAAAGCATCCAGCATTCAGAACCAACTTACCATTTTTCTCCAAATCCTCTGGCCCATAGCTACAAGTTCCCAAATTCTGCAGTCAGTCAGATCTGTCCCTGCCTTGAGGCAGAAGGGGACAGGCCTTATTCCAAATTACAGAGAAACAGCAAATTCCAGGAGGTGCTGCCGAGCTCTTCCATTTCTCATAGGTGCAGGATGGAGCCAAGTATTCGCTGAGCACTGCACAGTGTATTCCCTCAAAGGTTTGGAAAAGCTATCAGGAAGATGCCACAACACATGCTGCCACCACCTTTGTTGTGATACTCACAGAGCTGCAGTTTATAAGTTCAGCCAAGTAACCATGAGGGGGATGCCAAGGATGGAAACATTTGGAACACGGGTCCAAGCAAAGCTTTGGGCTGTGCTGGGGCTGCAGAGGTCAAACAAGCTGCCTTGAAATTTGATTTTCCGAGACTCCCTTCTCAGCATCTCCCAGATGGCTGCTGCTTCCTTCTGGCACTCCCAGAGCGCTGTCAGGGCACACGCGTGAAATTCATCCCAGTACCTGCAGCCAGAGGAGACATGGCACCATCAGCCCCTTTGGATTAGCAGAGCAGGGAGATGCCAAGCAGGGCCCTGCTGCCCCATGTTTTGTGCAAGCGTCCCAGACTACCCATCCCCTCCATTGTTTCCCAGAGCATCTTGGCTAAAACTCCAAACCTCAGAACACACAAATTATTTCATGCTTTTTTCCTTCTTCTCTGGAAGTCAATAAAATCCATTATTTTCCATCAATAAAGTTTCCCTTTGACACCAAGCACCCCAAGTATCTAAAAAAGGCTGCAAACAAAGGCCCAGCATGTTTCATTGATAGCTTTCTCCAAGCTTAGTGAAGGGTGAAACATGAGCACAAAGCAAGGAGAAGGACAACAGCTCCTGCAAGCCATCGCAGCTTTGTAACTAAGGCATGGGCAGGAGCAGGAGTTATTCACTGTGTTCTCATCTGACACATCTCCATTTATCTGCTGGGTGTTACTCTGCCCAAGTAGAAGCCATTCAGTGGGAAAGAGGCTCTTGGGAAGCATCAGAGAAATACAAGACAGGCAAAGATAACCCATGGCCCTGTGGGAATAAACCGGGAGGTGCTCACTGTGGACCCCTTGGCTGCATCCCCTGGGACTGAAATTTGGGTATTTTTCCAGCTCCAGAGCTAGAACCAGGTAAGGAAAAGCCCTGGCAAAAAAAACAGACTGAAAACCACAGCTCCCAAGATGACTGTCCCAGGAGGGGCACAATGAAACCCAATGGTCCAGCACACTAGGGCCTGCCAAGGCCTTATCCCCTCCCCGAGCTCCTTCCTTACCTTTGGTACAGAAGCATGGTGGCCCTGAAGAAGCTGGTGTTGAGCCGTTTCCATCGAGCCCACAGGTGTCAAGCTGAGCATGGAGGGGTGGACTCTGGCTGTCCAGGGACAAGGACAGCAGGTACTGGGCTGCACCATGTCCCCCCACATGGTGTGGGGAGCAGCAGAACAGGTGCCCCAGCTGATTGACTGGGGTTTTTTGGGGAGGATTAGAGTCCATACCAGACTCCCCAGAGGCTGCTGTGGGTGCTGCTATGTGACAGGGAGGGCGCCCGCAGCCTGGCAGGTTGCTGCATGCACACCAGTGTGTCCATAAGTCCTGATACAGCTGAATTCACAACCAAAGTCTCTGTTTAGTAGGTACAAACTCAGAAAATGGAACAGCAGGAGCCTCAAAGCCTCAGCAAATGTCACAGGCCATCCTCCCCTCTGGAAGCAGTTCTCCTCCAAAACAAAGACTTCCCCAAGGGACAGATAAGGCTCCATGCCATGCTTGCCACTAACCTTCTCCCCACGACTTCCAAAAAAACCCCTGTTTCTTTTACCTGGAAAGAGCTTTGCAAAATCATCTTTCTATTGCAGCTTCTTTGGAGCAACACCAGGGAAAGTCAGGGACCAGCCATGGGCAGCACCCCCAAGTCCCAGCCAGCACCCCAGCCTCTGCCGGCCCCTGACCTCCCTCCACCTCTGTTTTCCTCTCCCCCCCATTGCTGGGGCTGGGCACCACCTCTGGTCCATAATCTACCTGCAACTGGGGACTGCCTAGAGCACAGGAGCAAGTGCTCTGCCACCCTCTCTGTGTCACCCCTCGGAAAGGAGAGGCAGCCAAGCAGGGACCCTGCACATGGGCTGCTCGGTTTTGACCCAAGTGCCTTGTGCAGGACACGACAGGCAGACCCCAGCCCTCTGCTTAGTTTTCCTCCCGGGGCTTACGTCAGAACACCAGCTGTGAAGGAGTTCATTAAACCGAGCCACTGTGGCAGAATAAATGTCCCCAGATAATGAGAAAAGCTGGTGCCAACCCAGGTAACCTCCTGCACTCGCACCCAACCTGCGGCCATGGCAGAAGGCAGCTCTGCCAAGCGAGAGTCAAACCTCTCGGACAAAGGATGGCTGGGGGCTGGTGAAGGGGAATGACAGCTCCCGCATGGTTCTGCTGTCGGCCAGGATGGCAATTCCCAGCGTTTCACCCTTCACAGCCTCCATCTGCTCAGCCAGGCAGGCTGCAGGCACCCCACACCAGCTCCCAGCTCCACATCCATCCCTCTCCCGCACTCCTGGAGAGGGGACCATGGCAGGAAAGCAGACAGCAGTGGAGAAGGCTGAGGGTTAAAGATTAATAATTCAGAAATATCTCCTGGCAGGAAGCTAGGACATCATCAACCTTTTCCTCCAGCCACAGCAAGCCTGGCTTGCTACGCACCAGGACCAGTGGGAGAAGCTGGCATGTCCCAGGAGTGCAGAGCCTCAGCCCTGCCAGTGGGGAAGATCCCAGGCTATGTTCTGTGGTTGTTAGTGCCCCAGAGCCTGTCAAAAACCTCAACTCACACATCACGTGAGCTTCAGCACACCCTCCAGCAGTCAGGCACAGTGCGTGGTGCGCCACATGCTCGGATGTTTCCTAATACCAGGAAGCCACATTTCCAGATAAAAATATGTAGTGCAGCCCAAACCAGAGCAGTTCCATTTCAACCCTGCCTTCAGTCATGTCCCATGGAGTCTGTTCCTCCTGAGCTAGGACTGTCCCTTGGAGATGGGGGAATAGAGCAGGTCACAGCCAACCTTCCACTTGCCAGGCATGTTTGCTGGCAGGGGAATGCACGAACAAAATACATTTTAAACTAACAGGGGGTAGTTAGTTTTCTATTCTCCTTGAGCGAAAGGGTTTTGTTCAAGTGGTTTTCACACTGGCAATAACCAAAGTCAGGCAGGTTAGGCTGGGGACCCTCCACTTGCCTCAGCAGCGTCATCCCACCAGCCTTCACCAAGTGCCCCATCCCGGCTGCCCCTGCCCTGCTGCAGCCCCATCCACACCAGCCAGCCCTGCCCGCTCCAGGGAGCGCATCCAGAGCCTCCACCCCATGGCTGAGGGCGATGCCTTCCCCTGCAGCCCAAGGCAGCTTTCGGCAGCTTGGAAAACCTGACACACAGGGCACTGCACCCTCTGCCTCGCCCTGGCACGATTCTACCACCCGAAGGCATGTGGATTTTCGCTTAACTACTGTCTGCATTTCCTTAAATCTCCTTTCCACTGCTCACAACTTACTGCTAGGGACATGGAGCTGCCTCCATTTATCTCCACCGTTCCCTTGCTCCACACACACACACACCCCCCAAGCCTTCCTGCTTCTGCTTTTCAAGCAGACCTTTCCCCAGGCCTGCCCCACACCACCCCTCCTTACCCAGTTCCACTTGGATTGCCGTGCTGAGGAATGTCCTCCCAACGCTCTGACCTTGGGACACTTGCTACAAACTCACCACAACCAGGGGAGGGGCAAATTCCAGAAGGATGAGGGCTCTCAGCAGGGAGAGAAAGGGCTTGGTTTGGGCAGCAGGATCCCACTGGATGCTGGGTGCAGGCTGCTCCCCACTGGACCCTGGGACACCCCAGCCATGGGTGAGTTGCTGGATGAAACCAGTGTCCCAGGGAGACTTCTCGGGGGAGCAGAAAGGGTTGGATGCCACCAGCCCTGCTGCTCCTGGCTGCGGGCATGAAGGAGGTTGCACAATGAAACCTGGGGGCTGGACCTACTGCCCGGCTGGAGCCGAGCAGCAGAGATAGGTGGATGGAGCCCACCAGCTCTGTCTGAAACCAGAGCAAGTTGGGGAGTGCATGTGCACGCACGGCTGGGATGTGGGGTGGGGACAGGAGAAGACTTCAGACAGCAGCACCTGGCGCAGGGGCAGTGCCCAAAAGCCATACTGGCCGTGTGCCATAGGTAACCCCAGAGGTGGGACATGCAGGAGGTCCCAGCATGAGGCCGTACTCACCCACAGACTCGATGCAGCCCCTGCAGCTCGATGCCATCTGCCTCCTCATACGTAGCCATGTTTTCCCCCAGCTTGAGGACGCATTCCGAGAAGCCTTGGTAAATGTTGGTGCAGGCAGTGCCGGATGCCAGCAGCCCAGCAAGGTGCCCTGCAGCCACCGAGGGGTCAGTGTGAGCACCCAGACCT